AGAAAAGAAAACAACAACACAAAACGGCACCAGCCGTAAAACGTGTCAAAGAAATGTCTTATTCTGCAGCATTTTTTTTCCAATAAGCAATGCCATCTCTTTTACATGCTAATTTATATGTTTTCCACCTTCATGTTTTGACATTATTCATGATTGCTACATTGTGAATGGTTTGGTTTGGTTTGGGTTTGTGAAAGAGCCACTGCATCCACACATCTGTATGTTTTGTAAACATAAAACATCGCATTAATTCTAATTACATTCCCTCTTTGTGCTGTGACTGTTGGTCGTATAATAGTGAAACCACCTGCTGATAACCTTTTGAACAATGAAAATTTAGTCCTCACTCATGTTAAATATGCTTTTAAGTGTTTTCCACAAGCATTCTACAGATGATAAAATATTTTTTTCAAGTGGAGTATGAGTGTAAATTGCCACTCGTATCAAAACTGAACTTAAGAACTGATGTAACAGTGATGTTAAGGAAATGTCTGATGCTGAGGAACTGTTCCACAATTAACCAGGGATTTTACACCATCAAATGTTGATTAGTTTTAAATACAATGTTTAAATTTAAATAAAATCTTACAACATTCTTTCAGCAAGCTATATATTGCAAACAGAATGTGTTTTTGAGCAAAATTGCACATACACAAAGTCTTTGAATGTGCTGAGACACTATTCTTCTTCTATGAAGTATTTAAGTGACTGAATCTAGGCCAGCACACACTCTTTTTAGTGAGGATTCAATGCTTTGATAATAACCGTAAGCCACTGACAGTCAAAGCTCCTTTGAAAATAACTGATAACACAAATAAATTTTAAAAAGATTGAAGTGGAAACGTAACAGAGAGAGTGTGTTATACAAGTAAGCCAAGTAGAGATTGTGGCAGTACAAGAGAATTTGCAAGTCTGGGAGGGCTCCTGTACCTAATCAATTATACTGGCCCGCGTACAGGTCCAATCAAGGGCTTGGCTTGGTGGTTATTTTGCCCTTATTGTAAACAAATTCAATATTTTGTGCTTACCTTTTTAGAAAAGTAGGAATGGTTGGATCACAATGGTTGACTAAAGAACTAGTCAAACAGTGGGGTTGACAAATTTATTCACATTTATTTTCTCATATCTAAAGTTGCACTTTAAAAAGATGATTTTGAAAATGTAAAAATAATTATAAAAAATACAGACCATTTTGACTGAAAGACACCAATAATTGAGAAAGAATACAGACCATTTTGACTGAAAGACACCAAGAATTGAGAAAGAATACAGACCATTTTGACTGAAAGACACCAAGAATTGAGAAGTATGTCCCAACTTGACTAACAAGGCTGTCTAAACAAAGGGTTTAGATTTTTTTATAGGTTTGCAAGCGCCCAGCATGCATTGAAGCATTAATAAATTATGCAGTTAGTGACTTTATTTGTAATGTTGACGTTATTGTTATTATTTTTTGTCACTGCTAGTCATTCATTGTGTGGCAATATTAGAGGCCATCAGTCAATAAATTCTGCAGTTTTTCAACACAGAGACGATAAACATCATAAACTAAAAATGACGAGCACACAACAAAAACATAGAACTGACAACAAACAAACAACAGCAATAGCTGCAAACTTCAAAACAAACACTGAATGCTGTAGAAACAATTTTAACTCAGAATTTGATATTAAATTTCACAAAGAAACAGCTAGTACCACATTAAAATAAATAGTATTTTCTTGTAAAATGTACTCCAATAATCTTCATTTAAAACTTTTAATTTTTTAATGATTAAATCTTAAACAATGTAAGTACATTAACAGTGTATGCACATGTATTTTGATGTAATAAATTCATGTGTCTACAGTACACGGTTAGAAATGTAATGAAATATAATATTTATAGCATGCAGCTTTTGTTGAGTCGATATTCAGAATAATAGGGGAGTCCAAGGACAATTGTAATATCTGTGTGTGTGTGTGTGTGTATATATATATATATATATATATATTACAATTGTCCTTGGACTCCCCTAATATTCGTCATGCTAGAAATATTAATATGTTAGTGCTGCCCAAATTGTTTTCTAAAACCCAATTGGGCTGTCTATTTAATTGAATAGATGTCAAGTACATGAATATTCTATCACATAAGCTATTCCATCCAATTCCAAAAGGGAGTTCTCAAGCATCAGGAAGCAAGCCTCATCAGTATACGTGGACATTTGTATCAAAATGGAAGGAATATTCCTGGCTGCGAGCCAAGATTCCCATCTGCCTTTGAAAGCAGTCTTTCCCATCTGCTGAGATTAGCCTGTCAGAAAATACAGCTGACATACGTTGTGAAAGAGAAAGAATCTTTCACCCAGAGGTCCAGATAATACCTGCTGGATGATGTTATTATGCTTCTATCAGATCCGGTTGCTGCAAATCATCAGTGAGAATCTGGACGGGTGGCTGAGATAATGACTTTACTCCTAAACGTCCAGGTCAATCTCACACCAACTGCCCATATCTCCCTCCTGGAGTTTGCCAATTAGAGCCATAGCCAGATCCTATTGGACAGAATTGGACCTGGCACTGACAAATAAGAAGCCAAAGTTTCCCACAGATTGAATTACGGACATGGTATCCTCTCAAGTAGTGTAAACTTTTTTAGAGCTACTTGAAATATCATATGTTATCAAACATGCTTGCATTTGACTTGTGGCATAAAGTCAGGTTCACATTGCACCATATTCTAGCCAAGAATATCCCTGGAGAGAGCTATCCATAAGCATTCCCATTTATCCCAAAGGCAGATTATCAGCTGGCACATTTAATCCGCAAGTACAGAACCTGCATGCCATCATTCCTCATGGGTACTTTATCTGGGCACACAGATTTTCACCCAATTACTAGAGTCATAAATGCCATGTGACTAATTACTCTAGAGTAATTACAAGAAGGGACTATCTGTCCATCCTAACCAGCCAAACCTTGACCCCCTGATTCTGGCCAAAAGCACACACTTAGAGAGGAAGACACCGTTTCACTTTAAATTGAGCATCATTCTTCCCTCTAATGGACGCTGTTCAAAATATTGTCTGATGTGCATCAGTTTTCTGTTAATACCCTCACCAATTGCCTTACCAGATAACAGCATTCCAGCTTATAATTTAAATATACTATCTCCGCTGTGCTGAGACAAGACAGCATCCCCAAAAGTTAGGTGAAAAACCCGAGTTTAGCCCAGAGAGGGTTCCAGTCCCCGAGTTTAGCCCAGAGAGGGTTCCAGTCCCCGAGTTTAGCCCCTCTAATGGACGCTGTTCAAAATATTGTCTGATGTGCATCAGTTTTCTGTTAATACCCTCACCAATTGCCTTACCAGATAACAGCATTCCAGCTTATAATTGAAATATACTATCTCCGCTGTGCTGAGACAAGAGAGCATCCCCAAAAGTTAGGTGAAAAACCCAAGTTTAGCCCAGAGAGGGTTCCAGTCCCCGAGTTTAGCCCAGAGAGGGCTCCAGTCCTCGAGTTTAGCCCAGAGAGGGTTCCAGTCCCCGAGTTTAGCCCAGAGAGGGTTCCAGTCCCCGAGTTTAGCCCAGAGAGGGCTCCAGTCTCCGAGTGTTAGTCCTGTGTCTTATGTTTTGCTCCCCACGTGCTCCATGACCCAGTTTTTCCCTCATGTGCAATTATGATTATTGCTCCCAGGTGTTTCTCGTCATCACCTCGTCATGTCATGTGTATTTAAAGTGTTTCCTGTTCTGAGTTCTTCGTCCGGTATTGAATGTCGTCTTTCCCCGCTATGTGTGTGTTCCTGGTTCCTTGGATGTTAATTAAAGTCTCTTTGTTTGAAGTCTACTCCACGTCTCCTTGTTCCTCGCTCCGCGCTCCCTCACAGTAGCGGTATCGTGACAATTTGAGGCCAGCGCATCATTCATGTCTCTCATATAACACTGTGGACTTGCTCGTTTTATTCAAACGTCCTGCGTTTCTCACTGTTACAGTAATTGATTGTTTTGAAAATAAATAAAAAAAATCGGAGGACTTCAGTATTAATAGTACTGTAATATTGTTGTAGTGTTCATCATGTAGTCAAGACGATTGTTTTGTGCACTGTGATGGATTAGATAATAAACTGATAAGATTTTAAAACAGTTTAACCTCAAAACAATATTTCATGCCCTGTAAATATTTATGTGGTGGAAAGTTGTGTAATAAGTGTTACATTATCCCTTAAATGTCTTTTTGAACTGTTCTTCTTGGCTTAGAGACACTTGTGAGGATTTTAATTTATTCTTTTTCACAGAAGCTTTGAGTTAAGTTAAGATAATAAAATATTTCAATTCAAATCAATATTTGTTTACTTATGTGACAATTAGCCGTGTGAAAAGTGGAATAATGCACATACAGCCATTTGTTATCACAATATAAACCAATTTCAGGAATATACAAGGTCATCCTGTCAGGGTTTATTTTGCAATAAAATTCGGCTGGATGTACACTATCCCTTACCTATAGTAACATAAAACAACTGTTCTGTGAATGAAGTCACAGTTGAGCTAGACTACATTAGCAATATATGGCAATATCCTATTGTAATATATATAAATACAAATATATTAAGGACATATAGATTAAGACTGCATAAATGAGAACGAAATGCTGACAGTTGTTTTGTGTTAATAATTGATAACAGTATATAATGTAAATGAAAATGTGATCTGTTGAACAAAATATGTTGTTAGATACAAAAATATAATATATAATCATGTTTTTTTTCTTTCAGTGCAGTTTTAATCTCTTCTAGCTGCTATCTGTCTTTAAGTCTTTCCCATTTTCTTGTTCTTAATTGAAAAAAAAAAAAAAGATGTTCAGTTCTGAGTGAAATCTGAGAAGAAGGCGTGGATGGAGAAAAAGACATTCTACTACAAGGCAGTTAATAAACTAATCTATTTTTAACTTGATTACTAATCAATTTCTAATATGTTCTGTACTTACTGGAGACACTAAGAATTGCTGAATCATTTGGAGAATGAAAAATAAAACCTCTCATGACATCTGTGCTTTCATAACTTTTTCTATATTTCTAAGTCTATTTTTTCTCTGTTGTGAGACGAAATGTGAAAGTCTCTGTATTCATATTGTTAAATAGAAGTTGAAATGACCAAGACACAAAATTCTCACTTCAGCAGCTCAGCTTGTTTAATTTGTTTTGACTGTCATTTTGCATCAATACAGATGCAGCAAATGCTTGATGAACATGTCTGGGTTCCCGAGCAGGGTGTAGGCTGTGATTTATGCTGATGTAAATTATGTCAAAGCCCTTTCTATTGATTAGGGTGTTTGCTTGCGCATTTTGTTTTGTCAACGTCAAACTAAGATGTACAACAACTTTTTTTCCATGTAAATGCAAAGATGAAACTCTGCAATTATACAATTATGCCTCACACAAGCTTTGCAAAAGCAAACAAAAAACATCCCAATTAAAAATACTTGCTTGTGTGGCAAGATTTGTGGTGAAAGAGGTGTGGAAACATTCAAATCTAAAACTATGCAAATTATATACCATGTAGAGTTATTTTGGCTAGCTCTGAGAAAATGAATGTCTCACAAGAGCTGCGCAAATACTAATAAAAACAGCTTTGGGTTTCTTTCAAACTTTGAAACCCATTCCATTAGCAGATTATTGAGGTTGTAACATAACATACTTTACTACACAAAATAAATGAAGCAAGCAAGATAGATGGGGCAAAGTTTACAAACTGTTCCATTAAGATATAATCACACCATAACATGTTTACAGGCCAGGAGTGCATAAGAGGGACGGGGATTCAGTCTGTCAGACTGAACCTCTTGCAGTTGCTTAATATCAATAAATCGCCCCTGGAGAAGGAGGTTGACCCTGTTGACTGTATATCCCCTGATCTGCGAGTCAGCCCACCCAGCCATGTGTCACAGATGCAACATTAATTATCATAAAACCGCTGGCCATGTGCAGAGACTTCAAAGTGCCCAGACGTCAGTCTGAGCGACTGCAGAGAGCCTCAGTGTGACTAATGAGCTAGCTGAGGAGAAACAACAGCAGTAGGACAAGTGTTGGAAAACCTTCCCCAGTGACACAGAATCAATAAAGCAAACTGTTGTCAGTGTGGGAGGAATACTTTTTCTTGAAATAAAGCTGGCCATGTCTTTCCAGCAGTGGCTCTGGCTAAGTAAAAGGTGACTTACGGATGAGTTTGTTTCTTCATCTGAACATATTTGCAGAAATGCAGTATTCCATCTCTTGCTCACCAGTGGATCCTCTGCAGTGAATGGGTGCCGTCAGAATGAGAGTCCAAACAGCTGATAAAACATCACGATAATCAAGAAGCAATCCACACCACTCCAGTCCATCAGTTAACCTCTTGTGAAGAGAAAAGCTAAGTGTTTGTAAGAAATTAATCCATCATTAAGACATTTTTATCTTCAAACCCATGCTTCCGCTAAAATGCGAGTCCTCCATCCACAATATTGCTTTCTCCAGTGGAAAAAGTGATCTTGTCTAAATCAGAAGAGAAATATACAGAGATCAAACACCATTTACAAAACAGTACAAAACAAATATGTGGGTGGATTTTGATGTGAGAGGACAACAGGGGATGGCCTTTTCACTGGTGGAAGCATTATTATGGATTATGGACTCATATTGTGGCCAGAGGTGATGGTTAAAAATGACTTGATTTCTTTATTACAAAAATACAGCTTTTTTTCTCTTCACAGGATGTTAACTGATGGACTGGAGTGGGGTGGATTGCTTGTGGATTATTGCGATGTTATTTTATCAGCTGTTTGGACTCTCATCCTGACGGCACCCATTCACTGCAGAGAACCCACTGGTAAGCAAGTAATAGAATGCTAAATTTTTTACAAATCTGATCAGATAATGAAACAAACTCATCTACATCTTGGATGGCCTGGGAGTGAGGAAATGTCCCCTCATTTTTCATGTTTGGGGGAACTATTCCTTTAAAGTCCACGTAAAACACATTTAAACATTCTGAGTGAAACTGAAGAGTTATTTTCTCTTTTTTTTTTTGTCTAATCTGTATACATTTTACAATTACATTAATTTATTAGAAAATTATTTCCAGTCTATATAAAACAAATCCCATAATCGGTGAACTCTGGCTTTAATAAATAATTGAAACTGTAAGGTCAAATATTAAAACAAATACTGCACAATTTCAAAACAGGAACCCTGCTTGGGTCGTTAGATATTTAATTAGTAAATCCAATTACTTTAAACAAGTCAATATTTTTCCATGTGTATAGTATGTTGTACAGCACTGGGGGAAAGGGCAACACAGATATATGCACTTTCAGTATTGCATTTTTGCATTATTGGTTTGTTGTGTTTACGCAGCACATCTCAAGAGAAGTTTGCATAACTCTTTGCTAGAGTGTCTTACAATTGTCTTTAATCCACACCATAAATCACATTAAAGTCCATAATTGGTTGACGCACATGAAAGATGCCCTATACCTGGGATGGCCACATCTTCAAGGTTTTATCAGGCATTTCTGCTAATGAGATCACTCTAATCAGAGACCTTTCGTAATTATAATTATCTCAGGAATTAAACCTTCTAAACCTTAACTTGACCCACAATTTCACTTGGTTTTTATTTTGTTTATAAATGAATCAGAACCCAACCAGAGCCCAGCTGAGAGGATTAGATGCATAGCATTTGAATACATTAAATAATTGAATGAACATTTGACAGGAAAAAAAAAAAAACACCTAAACAACTCTGTAGGTCATTATATTTATGTAAGCCTTGTTAGTCTAGTTGTTTTAGTTATTGATTGGTGAGCAAAGGGACCCAATCCTGACATGATTAAATCAACTACTTTTCATTCAATAAGTGAAATAACAGTATGTAAGATTGATATGAGTATACTGTAGTAAATGGACTAGTTTTTCCATGGGTATGTTGTAACAGTGTTGATGTACATATTTAATTTATTAAAACCATAATAATATAGACTTGCATAACATATTTTAAGATAATGCATACAATAGTTTATGAAAGTAAATAAAAAAGTTTGTTTTTAATAATTGTACGTTTAATTATGTATTGATATGTTTCTGGGAGAGAAAAATCAAACAATCACATTTTCATTGAGAGGGACTTTTAGCCCCATTGCACCCAAAAAAGCTGAGCAACAGATGATGACCACATTTTAATTTATGATTTCTGCCACAGAGTTTCAGATAAACCTAGATTGTTTTTGCTATCTGTGAATTATAGTAAAACAAAAAAAATGCAGCTCTTTCTAGGCATAACTGTATCTCTCTTTAGCAAAAAATAAAGCAGCATCTTTCTAGATGAACCTCACCCCCGCTCTCACTTTCTCGCAGAATTTCATAAAACATGAATATGCTTCTCAAATTTCATTTCTTATTTCAGAGTGTACAACAGTGATAGTATTTCTGCAGCATAACTGCAGCTCTATACAGAAAATATAGTGATTTCTGGGTTATTATATTGAATATTTCCTTTGATCAACATTTATAAAATAGAAATTTGGGCATTGTAGCTTAAAATAACCTCCTTAAATTCTTGTAATCCAATTACTGAAAAGGATGAAAAGGTGTTTGCGTGCCTGTGACTGTATATGGAAAACCTGGATTAAAAAAAAAAAGAGCAGCAAAATAAAATAAACAATACACTAATTGTTTATGACTTAAAAAGGCCTTAGACTGAATTATTTTTTTTTTCAATTTTTTACAAAACATCCTTTACAATGTTAAACTACTTGTATGAAAAAATGTATTAAATGCTAAATAAAATGAGTTTCACATAAAAATAACCTTTTTAACATTTTAAAATAACAGGTTAAAATACCAGACATATATGAAAGAATCTAAATAAATATGTAAATAAGTACATTTCATTGAGTGCACCCTGAACACCTACAAAACCCCCATATTGATCAATAATAAGTTAAAGGTATTATGTAATTCTGAACAAAATTAAATTATGTCTTGTCTACAGTACTTCAAGTGGAGAGTTAAAATGAGAAACCACCAGGGTTAGTGACATTATCCCGGAGGGCTTTGTTTCATTTTAAATAAATGAATGATGATTTGGGAGCAAACTAAACATTATGCAAATAGATTTCTTCCCTAATCTGACACTGTGCGTCATAATTTCAGGAGGCACTCAATTACGTAACTACCTTTCCATGAGAATGAGCAACCAAATTGAAAATATTTTTCTCATGGTAAAAAATGATTTTCAAAGTGTCCACTCTTGCATTAGCTGTAATTGAAATTCATACCTGATCCTTTTATACACTGGCCTCATGGCAGGAAATGCAAGCAAAAATGGCAGGGTCCGTTAAATCTGGCCCTGTATGGCAACTGAAAAGCAGAGTTTAGCTCTGACCATAATCAAAGACACCTGAGCAGGCTGATCAAAGTCTTAAGAGTTACTAGAAAACCCTACCCAATACCTAAACTTAACACCTACCTTACTAACTATTAATACACTGAAAAATGTTTTTCAAGCAGTACTTCATCCAATTAATAATTTGTTTTTCAATTAAATTTACCATTGTTTGTTTTATTTTTCAAGTAATATTTTTTTAGTTCAAAACATTGATAAATATAAATATTTTTTTCATTAAGAGCTCAACTAAGACATATCTGTTTTGACTAATGTAAAATATCAAGGTTAGATTGAAGCCAAGACTTTGAGCATGCGAAATTCGGACGGTGCTGCGAAAAGGAGCGGAAGCAGGATATGACATCACGCGCCAAAATGTCCTCACTAGTCATAATTCCTTTCTATTTAAGTGATTACAATCAGTCACAAGTATAGTTAATCAAGTACACACCCGCACACATACAAATCTCATGTAATAAAAAAATCACATAAAATTACACGTTTCACTGTTAAAACGTGCCATCCGCTCCTGTTTCCCTTGCCACTGCAAACCAAGCCGCTTCTCTTTTTATGTGATTTTTGTAATCTTTTAAAGTTGTGTTGTATGAAGCAGGATGATGCGACACTGTTAAAATTAGCGATCCCTTTATTTCTGTACCGAGAGGTCACTTTGTGAGGTTTTGATTGATGTTATATTGGTCTCACGCATTCACGTGACGCGAATTCGCAGGTCAGAGTTCACCAAACTTGAACTTTGCTATGCAGCGAAAAGTGAAATATCACCGCACCGGCTTGCGTTTCCGGTCTGACACATTCGCATGCGTATGAATGAAAATCAATGGAATGAAAAGTCTAGTGTGACCGCGGCTTAACTCATATTTTTAAGATTATTTCATGACCACACCACACCTCCTTACACTGGTGTGGTGCTGCGAGTCAGTTAACGACACCATTTTGTCACTGTGTGATTGTGTGTGAATTCAACGAGCTGTGGATGAGAAGGTGGAAACTTTATTTTAGATAAGTTAGGTGTATGGACGTTATTTTCCGCTATTTATCTATTTTCGCTCTTTCTTTTCCTCGAGAGACTGTTTGTGATCGGCGAAAATTGTTGTTTGTCTAAACGACGGGACATTTCTCATCCGTTAGCTAGCTAGATTTCTCACACGCCTGCGGCGGAAAAAAACGCGCTTGAACCCCGGACCAGCGAGATCGACTGAGATTATTTTCGTCTTTTTCTTTTTCACTCAATGTTGTTTATGAGGAGTGTAAGTTAATTTTACTCATACAGGACAGGAGATACGATGGTGGAGCTAATATGGTGAGTGCAACAATTTAACGACCACGTTTAATAGACATGGATGTTGTTTGAAAGAGTAAGTTTAAATTAATTAACGGTATAAATAAAAAAAAACGGATGAATATATCTGTTCTATCTAGGTTCAGAGCCCTCTTAATGACTATCTTGTTTTGGAAGTTAGAAGAAATGGAAGAGATGCTTTGGAAGTGTAAGTATTGCCCTCATAACTGTGAAAAGAGAGCACAGCTAACGTTATAAAAACATTATCCCCCGGATTCACAGGCCAGTCTCAGACTAAAATGCATGTTCAAGCTGTCTTAACTGAAAATATCTTGTACTGACATATTAAAATATGTCAGTGCCATTGTTGTGTCTCAAGATGCACACCAGTAAAGTTCTTAAGGCATTTTTATAAAAGTTATTTAAATATCCTAATTTAACCAAGGCCTAGTCCTGGTTTAAGCTAAACCCTGTCTGTGAAACCCTGTCTCTATGTTCAAACATGGAAGTTATACAAGAACGAAACAACGTCGTTGTTCACATCAGGCATGTACATACATTTAAATTACTTTATGCACTAAGATGTACACTTATGCCACCTCACAGCAAAACTCCAGATCAGCAGTATATCATGTGGATTAACTGAGACCTGTTACAAGATTCCAACTTGGAAAAAGAATTCATGTCTTTGTAGAACTCATAATTACCATCTGTACTCTGGGAATTTTCTGAGAGCTTCTACTTGTACCACATGACTGTACCTGACTGCTGCAGATTAATTTAGGAATGATAGTGTTGCCATAGAAACGCACAGTTCCCGGTCCAAGGACATGAACAGCTCTAAGTAGAACATGGTGTGAACGCAGCATATGATCTTGAGTATTTGACAACAGCATTAACTGACTTGATAATGTCTTTGTCGATCTGTTTCTTCCTGCGGTCGTAAAATTAATTAATGATCAACATGGTGCCCAATTGTCCGGATTGCCTGGTCCTTATCCCTCAGGGGATCGAAACTGCTAAAAACATAACTCAATCAACAGGAGAAAAGGACTCCCTCTGTTTGAGACCATTCAAGGACCAGAGATTCAGTGTTATCACGTGACAAGCTTCAGCATAAATCGATAATCAAATAAACAGAAAGCGACAGATTTACTGTGACACCAGAGGTGGAAAGTAACGAATTACATTTACTCGCGTTACTGTAATTGAGTAGCATTTTTGTGTACTTCTACTTTTTTAAAGTAATTTTTAAAATCTGTAATTTTACTTTTACTTAAGTATATTTTGTTTGAAGTATTGTACTTCGCTAAATTTTAAAACACATAAAAAAAAAATGCTCCCTGGAAACTACTGCAGTAAATAATGGGCA